ATCAGGGGGGATGGTCACGCCGCAATCCCTTCTCCTCCATTCTCCTCTCGGGATCTTGGGCACGCATGCACACACACCCGGCGTGAGTTCTAAGCCACCAGGTCTGGGACACAAACCGCGGTCGACTACATGGGAGTCCAGCGACATAGCCATTACGCTAACTGCTGGTCCCAGTGTGTTGCTTTATTTCAGCAAATGAAAAATATTTAAGAACTTTCCTAGGTTCTGTCTTCTGCAAACGTCTCCCTACCTCAGTTTGCTGCAGAACGAATTATCCTGCCAGTGGGATGATCGGAAACGACCCATGTGACAAGAAGAACCACAGCTACCTCCATCCTCACGCATCGCTCGCTCTCCAGAATGGACTGAGCCCTCGGCGTGCCCAGCCCCGCCCCGTTTAAGATCACTGTGCGATCGATCATGCTGAGTACTTTCTGGTGAGGTTCTCTTTTCCAGCACACAGGCCTGTTTTCAATAAAGGCCGTCAACCTCCCAAAAGGTAGAGGCCCTGCCGCATGTTTAATTTCTTCTGTGTATAGCAGCCAGCGTCACCCCAGGTGCATTACAAGCCCTCAGCCCAGTCGTCGTCAGGTTTAAACAACCGAAGCTCTTTGAGGAGCTCGGCCTGGATGACATTTTGTGCCCAGGGGGAAGATAAGTTGCTTTTTTAGTTTTCTGGATTTTTGAAGAATTATTTTATTTAACTTTATTTATTTCTTTATTTATTTTAGTTTGACCAGATAGGGACAGAGCATGTGTGTAGGCGGGAGAGAGAAAGCAAGCCTCCAGGTCTGTGACTTGAACCACGGTCGGCCATGTGGGAGTCCAGTGCCCTTAACCACCACGCCACCTGCAACCTTCTTTTTTAAAAGAACTATTTATTTGATGTCTTATTATTTTTTTAGATTCATTTATTTTATTTCTTATATATTTTACTTCTTTTTTCCTCCCTGGAGGCCTTCCCTCTTGCCTTCTGCCCTGGCCCACCCTCCTCCCGCACTGTCTCCGGCATTCACAGTGGTCCTCTGTGCTTGCATGCTGTCCGGGAACTCAGTTTCTGCCCTAGAGTACAGACATTGGGTGTATATGAAGTGGGGACATACAGAGCTCCCCTTTCATAGTCTAGTTTGCTTCACTTAGCAATAAATCTTCCAAATTCGTCCAGTTTCTATCAGATACCAGGTCTCATTGTTTTTTATGGCTGGAAGGTAAGTCTTCAAATTAGAATTTTTGCTAAAAGAATGCTTGCCTAGTGCTTCTTCCCTGCTGTTACAGAAGCTTCCAGAACTCCTTCTAGGACAGAATGAGAGTGTAGTGTTACTTGACCACACAGGCAGGTGACAGCTGCTACTGATCTTCCTCACGGCATCCCGGATGCTTCCCAGGCCACATCCCGGGGCCCTGCGCCTTCCGAGGCAGCCCCTCTGGGACCGCCGCATGCCTGGGTCTGCGTGCAGCAGTGCACTGGGATCAGAAGGTCTCAGAGGACACGGGACACTGCAACAGCGGGCACCTCACCAAAGAGACAGGGGCTTTCTCCTCAGGAGAAAACAGTCTTGATTCCTGTGAAGCGACATATAAATTGCAAGAACTGAGCAAATCTGCAAATAATGCATGTCTACATCTGTGTTTATAAGATAAAACTAAGCCTACAGATGTCCGCAAAGCACAGCGCGTGGGTGGGCCAGGCAGTCTGGCCCGTGACTGAACGTCCTGCTCGGTGACACGGCCGAGCGGGGCCTGCCATGACAGGCCTACATGTCGTAAAGCCGGAGCTGCTCCTGCACGTCGCCATCGGACATCTCACCAAAGGTCTCCTTGTTGTCCTTCATGAGCTTGAAGATGGCGGCCAGCTGCTCTTTCTGAACTCTGTCAGGAAGAAAGGATAGAAAGGAAGATGTTCCTAACTCAAGGGAGGGACCCCGTGTGCAGCCGGTGGAGTGGGGGCGCTCCTCTCATGTGTTACTGCGTTCGCTGTTTAGAACACCACAGTAAGGTAACCCTGGCCCAGCAGTGAGCCGCGACGCTCCACAGGCTAGACCCATAGGTGCTGGGTTTGTGTCCGGAGGCCTCCCTGAGTCACTCGGCACTCGTGTACCCGTGATCTAGAGCTGACAATTGGTGTGGGTCGCAGTGCCAAGTCCCCGTTGGGGGTTCTATCTTTGTGTCTCGCTCACGGAAGAAATAAAGACAAATAACTAAATGAACAAAACCCACTTAAGACATGGGAGCCGCTGTGCTCGCACGCCTCAACTCGGGGTTCTGAGTCTTGGGTTGACCAGGGAGGTTCAGGGACTCCAGTTTCCCTGGGGCCTCATTGCACATTCCACCCAAGGCAAGGAAGCAGAAAAGCGCCTGTAGGTGCCTTGAGATCCTATGAAAAAACAGGTTAGAACAGCATGAGTTTAGAGGGGTGAGCTGAAAG